ATATAGCTAAATTAATTATAGTAATTAGCATATAATTAAGAAAAGACTTAGAAAAATAATAAAAAAGAAAAATTACAGAGAAATTATAGTATTGTTACAATGATGAAAATAATGAATTTTTATTTATTTCTGAATACCAATTAGAAAAATATCATCAAATTTATAATAAAATTAAAATTATTAATAATTTGAAAGAAGATAATTTAAATAATAATGAATTTGAAAAATTAAAAACAACTATGAATAATAATGAAGAAACTTTTATAAAACAGATAAGTAAAACAAATTGTTGTCAAAATAATTGTTTAAAAGAAAAAATTAATTCTAAAAAAGCTTTTTTAAGAAATTCTAATTTTCAATCTTTATTTAGAAGTAATCAAGATTCTTTTTTAATAGGTTATTTTATTGCTATTTTAAATTTAAAAAAAAACTTCTAAAGGCAATAAAAGAATTAGAATATATTATGATTATTCTTTTGATTCAAAAGAGATATGCTTACAAGCTTTTAAATTTATTTATAGAATTGGATCTACAAGAATAGAAAATATTAGAGCTCATTTATCTTAAGAAGATATTAAAGCTAGAATTCATAAATCTACAGGAAAATCTAGTCATACTGCAATATCTTTTTTTACAATTATAAAAATAATTAATTTTATTTTAAGTTATGCTAATAAATGGGAACTTCCATCACCAGGTAAATTTTATTTAATATTTTTAATAAATATTAATATATTTATTAATATTTATTTATTTATTAAGGTTGACATTTTAAATGAGAAAAAATAGAAATTACTTTTTTACAGCTATTGAAAATTATACATCTTTATATAGAAAATATTTAGATAGTATCAAACAAGATAAGAATATTGAAGAACTATATATTTGTTTAAGTTCTTTTAAAATAATTTTTAAAAATTATTTACCAAAAATTAAGTTTTTAATACCAAGTGATTTATGTTATTTTTGTAAAGTTATGTGATTTAATGCTGATAAGTGGACTATGAATAAAAAAGAACAAAAAATAATTGAATGGAATAAGCATATTGAAGCTGCAAATAATGAACGTAAATATTATAAGTATGTATAATTAAAATTTTATATAATATATATTATATTTAAAATTATTTATTATTAAAAATTATTAATAATTTTATATATATTAAATGAATTTAGAAAATGTATAGAAAATGCAAAAATTAATATTTTAGATTTTAATAAAAAAAACTATAATTAGACCAGGAAAAATTAATTTATTAGATATTGAATTATGTTTATCTTGGGATTTTGCACAACAAGTTCATTTACCTTTTTTATCACAACAAGAAATAATAATAATTCTTTATTTATTATTAATTATTTAATTATTTAAATTTATTTTAAATTATTATTATACTAGGAAGAAATTTATTTTAAATCTCTTTATAAAATTCATGTTTTTGGAATATGTGATGATGCATTTCCTTGTCAAGTAAATTATAAATTTATTATATAATTAATATAAATTTTAAAAATTTATTAATTTTATTAAATTATTTTAGGTAAATTATCTTATTAAAGAAAGTGAAATGCTAGGAAAAGGTGCAAATATAGTTATTTCTTTAGTTCATAATTATTTTTTATTACATGGATTAGGAGAAAAATACTTAACTATTCATGCAGATAATTGTTCTGGACAAAACAAAAATAATTTTATGATAGCATATTTAGCATGGCGAGTAATTATAGGTTATCATGAAAGAATTAAATATTCTTTTATGATTGCTGGACATACAAAATTTAGTCCAGATTCATTTTTTGGATTATTTAAATTAGCACTTGCTAAATCAGAAGTTGATGATTTAGATGATTTAGTTGAAGTTCTTGAAAATTCAACAACAGATAAATATAATATAGCACAAACTATTTTTAATAAGGAAGGAAATCAAGTAGTATATTTTTATAATTAGAGTAAATGGTTAAAAAATTTTTTTACAACAATACCAAATATTTTAAAACAACATCATTTTATTTTTAGCAAAGAATATAAAGGACAAGTAGAAATAAGTAAATCTATTAATAGTGAAAAAATATTAGTTAAAATTCAAAAAAAAACTTTTCTGTTGATATTAATTCAAATCCAGAAATTATTTCTCTTCCTGATTTAAATGCAGCTCGACAATGGTATCTTTTTGATAAGGTTCGAAAACATATTCAAGATAAAGAAAAACAAAATAATCTTTGTCTAAAACCAAAAATTCCTAAACCATAAAATTTGAATTTAAATATATAAATTTATTTATTAAAATAATACATATTTACTTTTATTAAATTTTATATTTTATTATATAAATAAATTAACTTTAATATATTCTATTTTATAAATTAATATATTACTATATAGTATATAAAAATACTTAGTAATTAACAAATAAAAATTTAATTTACATATATTTAAAATATATTTTAAATATAATTTAATAAATTTTTTATTATATCTTTAAAAACTTAGAAAAAACATATATATAAAAACTTCTAAACATCTTCTAAAAAAAATTATCAAAAGACAAAACTAAAATGTTAAAAAAAACTACCAAAAAACAACACCAAAATCTCAAAAAAAACTATTAAAAAACAACTCAAACTACTAAAAAATCATTAAAATTATTAAAAAAAACTATTAGAATCAAATTTAAATTTTTTAAACAACAATTACTAGAGAACAGCTCCAAATATACAGCTTTAAATTTGTCAAAAGAAATTACCAAGTCACAACTAAGAGTGGTTCCAGTTAGTTGTGATCAGTTATCAGTTATTTATTACTAGTCATTAACTTATAACTGACCAACTGCAATCATTTAGGTGATCATATAACTGGTCATATAACTAGTCAAATGACTGGCCCAATAACTAGTCAGAACTGTTCAGTTATTAGCTAGGTTTGCAACAAAACTTTCTATTTATCCAAGTTTAATCAGATCTATGTGCATATTTAATCAGAATTAGTCTCAGTATTATTATCATCAATTTTGTTAAGCACAAAAAAAAAAAATAACAATAACAATTATGTATATATTATATAGCTGATAGTAAATTTAAATATATCAGTCAACAATATAGGCCACAAAGATGACGTGTCTAGGTTTTTTTAATGGTTATGCTAGGGAAGTCCAGTATGATGGTTATTACTGTGGCTGTGTTATTGATAAATTAATAGTTATCTAATTTATTGAATTCAACATGAAAATAAATTGAAATATAAGATAAAACAGGATACCATGATGCAAAATATGTATTATCTTAGTTAAAATAAATTATTTTATTTATAAATATTAGAGCATATAAGCACTATGTTGTAATTAATTGTAATTATAATGAATTACAACAAATTATGCCATAATTCATTATAATTACAACTAATTATATCATTGCGCTCACCTCTACACATGATTAACACCAAGAAAAAATAATTTAAACTTATTATTTTTCAAATTGCTTATTATTGCATAATATAAATAAGAACATTGTAATGAATCAATTAATATTGCTAAAATAGTATCGGTCAGGATTTTAACCAGTCAACCATAAACCTTTTGACTGATATTAGTTACAGTCATAATCGTAACAAACCCATCCCTAGTCACAACTTCAAGCTTACTAAAGAAAATTACTAAAAGAAAGCTCCAAACTCATTGAAGAAAATTATCAGAGAACAACTCCAAATCTGGCAAAGGAATTACCAGGAAAAGCTCCAAACCCAATGAAGAAACTAGAAAATAAACTGAATTTGAGTAAGTTTCATGGTAGAAAACTATTAGAAAACAGCTCCAAAGAAAATTATGAAAGAAAAGCTCCTAACCTGACACAGAAAATTATAAAATAAAATTCCCAAACCTGGCAAAAAAAAATTATTAAAAATCAGAAACCTACCAGAGAACAGCTCCAAATCTGGTGAAGAAAATTACTAAAGAACAGCTTCAAACCTGGTGAACAAGCTAGAAACTAAACTAAATCATAGTAGGTTTCATGGTAAAAAATTACTAGAGAACAGAGCGAAGAAAGTTATCAGAGAACAGTTCCAAATCTGGTGAAGAAAATCACAAAAGATAAGCTTCAAACTCGATAAAGAAAATTACAAGAGAATCTTCAAACCTGATGAAGAAAATAGAAGCTGAAGCCAAATTAGAGTGGTTTCTTAGTAGAAAGCTATCAGATAACAGCTCCAAACCCAGTGAAAAATTTTCCAGAAAAATTTGCTTCTTACCCACAAAGGAAATTACCAGAAAACAACTCCAAACCTAACGAAGAAAATTATCAAAGGACAGAACAGTTCAAGTCTAATGAAGAAACTAATTGAAAGCTAAAGCTGAAAGCTAAAGCTGAAACAAAGTAGGTTTCTTAGTAAAAAAAAACTATTAGAAAACAGCTTCAAAATGGCAAGGAAAACTACCTCTAAAATGCCTAAGAAACCTACTAGTGAATAGCTTCAAAACATTCAAAGTGAACAGAACAACTCCAAAACGTCAAAGAGAACTACCAGAAAACAATACAAAATGCTGTAGAGAACTTTTCAACCTCTCTCTGATAGAATTATCAGAAAACTACTAGTAAAGGCTTCAAAAAATTAATAAACTAATTTAAAAAATAAATATATTTAAATAATAAAGTATTTGTAGCCTATAACATGAAAACAGGTTTACACAATACATTTTTTTGTATTACTGGTAAAGTCTACATACATATATGCTATAGATGTTTATCTATAATCTATAACCAGATCATAACTTGTATTTATAAAAGGTTATTTTTTAAAAATCTATTTTTAGATGGCTTGTAAAAAATGCATGATATTTAAAAAAGTAAGCATCAGCAAATAATTTATTATGTAAATCAATATTTTTAAATATCAAATTATATAGCAGAATATTTGTATAATATTATAGTATAGTTAACAAGTTTTTGCAAAAAAAGTCATAAGCTGTGTTTTTGTTAACCAGTTCCCATATTATAGAAATTAATAAAGTTGATAAGATTAAAAAGTATGAAATATAAATATAAGAAATAACAAATATTAACTAACAAATATAATAGTAGTTAAAGTTTATTAATTATTAGTTAGTAAATATATAAACAAGTTATACATAACTTTTTTTGTAGATTACTTTACCAAAACTAGATAAAAGAAGAAAAAATTTATATTGAAAATAGAACAATAACTACTAAGTAAACTGACTTTAGGCCATTAATTAAACTTGTTTTACATAGTAAACTTGACCTAAAAAAGGTACAAACCTCAAGAAAAAAATTTTTATTAGAGCTCTGAATTATAATAACATTAAAAACAATATTGCAACAAACTTATATTTTAGTGAAAGTGGTCCTAAGAATCTTTATATATTTACTAACCCAGCATATAGTGTGAGATCCAAAAACGTGATCGATATCACGTGTTGTAAACCCCGAATGTCAGAAATGTCAGATATGTCAGATATATTTGATATATCTGATATATCTGATATATCACCTATATCGCATAAGTGTGATTTTTTATTAGATATATGCGATATATATGATAAATTAGATATGTTAGATATCCTAGACAATTTATAATATAAATAGACAAGACAGTTTATTATAAATAAAGGACAATTTGCCCAGAAGAAAGAAGAAGGACAATTGCAAAGTATAAACTAACTACCTGATCCCATAGTACAAGTAAATGTTTTATCCTGTAAACACCAGTACTATTGTTAAATCACAGTACTAACACTACCCCCCCAAGAACAACTAGTCACGTACCCAGTAAACTGTAACAAGAGAAGAAGAGTTCCAACCCCGATTCGACATAGTGAAATCCCGGTTGAGACAATAGAAAAAAGATAAAGGAATGAGAAGAAGAGTAGGTTGAAGGAAAGACTTAAGAGAAAAGACCAGTACTTACCTAAGGATGATAATCCACTCGCCAAATCTAACATGCCTATTTTGACTTAGCCGCTGTAGGTGACACGAGAGTTGGCTTAGTTTAGCAACAGACTTGCCGAAATCCGAGATGACAATAGGTATAAGATAGCAGCTCCAAAAAATAGCAAAAAAACTACAGATAATCTACAAACCAATCTACTACAAACTCTGAACCAAACAATCTCTCAAAGCACTTTCTTTTCTTTTTACTAGCTTATTTTACTAAAAAATCTATTAGTTTAAGTAATTCTACATTTACAATTTCCACTGCTAACTCTTCTATTGAATATGCAAAAAATTTTATTAATATCACTATAAGAGACCTATTTAAACTTATTTTTACAGTTACCTTTCTTATTTTTAGCTTCATTAACAAATATCTTTTTATTGTAGAACTTACCAAATTTGGTTGCATATCTAACCTTACTACATTTTCAACTCAATGGTTATATAAACACAAAGAGCCTTCCTAATCAATACTTTTTGACTTCACAATAACAAGAAACAACTATATAAATATTAGTGCTAAACATCCCAAAAGTACATGCAGTTGTATCTTTAACTTAACAATTTAGTTATATGAAAAAACCTAAAAAGAATTCAAGGCACCTAAATTTAACAAAGATCTTCTACTTATACTATACAATATAATCACAGAACTTGATATAGAAGATGAATTATCACAAACAAGCAATATTTCACAAGATGATGAGCTTACATTCAATCTTACTGCTGGTTCTGCAGCAAACACTACACAAACACAGTCATTAGCTACTATATTATACAATACTGCTTAGACAACACAAGACACCAATACTAAAAGAAACAAACACCTTTCTATTTCACAATATAATCCTATTAAAACAATCAAACTCACAACTAAATCTTCCAAAATTTAATTAATATCCAATCAACATCAAAGTAAAAAATGACCTAGCTTTAACTACTTAATATACAAACTATATCTGAATCAGAACTATCCAATACTAGAGCTACAGCATCACCAATCTCTACAACTACAATATCTGATATTCTTGATAGCACCAGACCTACATACAGCCAAATTATCCAAAAACAACTTAACATATCTAGATTCAATAATATTAATGATTCAGAATAGACCAAAACTATACAGACCAGAATTACAGACCAAATCAATATTCTATTTGATCAAGAAACTTGGTTATATAAGAAAATTTCTGAAGCACTTCAAACACCAGCTGGCATTCAGAATCTTATTGATTATAAACTTGTTACTATACCAACTGAATTTGTAATTCTATCTGCAATATTTCTTAAATTTAGATACCTTGATACTAGGTTCTTTACTACCTTTACTAGAAACCCAAATACTACTTCTGCATATCAAAAAGAATATACTAACCTATACAATAATGCTCTAGCTACATATAAACAGACTAACCGAATTACAATTGCAAATACACTATATGCAAAACTATTAATACTATGCTTAGGCAAATACTTATTGCACAATACCTCTTCAACCTTAACTTATCAGCTATACCTCCTTCATGATTTACAAAACTATCTATTATGTAAGAGGTTTTTTGCAAATTCAAAATGAAAATGAACAAACTCCCAAGAAAATTAGAACTGTAATTACTAATGCACTTCAAAAAAAACTTATATTACTACTACAAGATCCTAGTGAAATACTAGAACATATTAAAGCCATCCTACTATTTACACTTTTAATTATACTAATATTATATACAAAGGTTACTATTAACAAACTAAAAAATCTTCAAGTTCAACAAATTAATAAACAACATTTTGTAAAACTTCTTACATTATCTGAAAGATATCAAAAACTTCCTCCAGAACTACAAATCTAGTTTTCAATATCAAACAGACAATCATTACAATACCTTTCATACTTCAGATGCAAACTTGTATACTATTATACTTTTACTACAATTCTAACACTAGTCAAATATAAGAAAATCGACCACTGATTAAAATGGCCGATTTGGCCTGAACTCGACTGTCGATTATTGGCTGATTTTATACTGAATAACAAGTCAAAATCGGTAGTTAATTGACAGTCAATTGCTAAAAATATTTGGTATAAATTCAGCTAATTAATCAACAGTAGAGTTCAGGCTGAATCAGCTATTTTAATCAGTGGTCGAATAATATAATAAATCGACTTATAATCGGCAGTTGATTACTAATAACCTTCAGCTCAAATATGAAAATTCGACACCCAAATTCTGGGCGAATCTTAAT